TTTTTAATAAAAATAACAGCTACTATCCATGTAGCACTTAATATGTTCTTTTTTAATATTTATTTTTTAATTGTACACGATACCTTTATTTTGTTTATTTATTTTTATGTGGTGCTGAGGATCGAACCCAGGGCCTCGAAGGTGCTAGGTGAGCGAGCGCTTTACCACTGAGCCACAACCCCAGCCCTATGTTCTGAACTCTATTTTAAGCATCTTCCAAGCATTATTTTTTAATTCTCCCAACTTTTTTTTTTTTTAAAGTCCTGTTTTCTTCTCCATCTTACCTGGAAGGAAATTGGGACTTAGAGAGGTCATGCAACCTGCTCAAATCCTGGAGCTAGTGAGTCACAGCACCTGAACACACACTCAAAACTGTTAACCCTAACTAAGCCACAGACTGCAGACTTCTGCCTTAGGAGGGTACAATGCCAGTTCGTGTTTTCCAAAGAATATTCAGGACTCTTTCCTATGAATTTGAGTGTTGCTTGATGCTAAGTTCTCATGCATTAGGTGTGTTTTTCAAAAACATTMCTGTCTCCTGTTTTTCTTTGGGCTTCTGTACCAACTTGGTCAGACCTTTCCAAGCAGCTCTTGGCTATTGGTAGCCAAGTAGCTAAGCACTCTACCACTTAGCTACATCCCCAGCTCTTCATTAATCTTAAAGACAACTCAGATTAAACTCTGTTTAGCATTCAAGTTTACAAATATTTGCTTTGGCCGGTTGATAAGAGGAAGTAAATCCTTTAGGCACTGGTTGATAATTATTACACATGCCCCTGGAGGCTATAGCAGTAACTGAAATGAGAACAGAGTTGGCAGAATGTTTGTCTTTCCTAGAAGTTTGTGTGGCAAAGTAAAATGGCTAATGTCATGAGGGGACTCCTGAGTAAGTTATTTACTAAGTAGTAGGTTCTTCATGTTTGAGTGAATCTTGGAAATTAACATCGTGGCCCTGAGAAGTCAGTAACCACAAGACTTTACAATGTTTACTAGCAGTTACATGGTGAAAAATCCAGCTGTCTGTTCYACAAGTCACTGCCCCTCTCAAAGAGATCAGATTTAAATCCTTGTGCCATTTCTCAGGAGTTAATATAGCACCTTGGGGAGGGCGCATGAGCGTGTTCCAGTAACTGGCAGTGGATGGAGCACAGGGACGCAGAGCTTCCTTCCGTTCCGAGTCCAGGTCTGATTTGAAATGGCATCTAGAACCATTTGCTGTGTGCTCTTGAACTTTTCCCTTGTGAGACTCCCATTGACCTGAGCCCTGAGGCTCCTCTCTGACTCAGTTTCTTCCTGAGCTGTCTGTCAGTTGAGGGGACTAAGGTGGCCATCCACAGAGGGATTCTGCCCTCTAGGTCCTCCTTAACTTGCTGGCTTCCTTTCTTCTTCCTGTTAGACCAACAGTCTCATTCAGGGAGGCCTAGGAGGCCTCTGTGGAGGAGGAGGAAACCTGGACAGCATTACAGAGCAGTGTGGGCTTCTCTGGATGCCCTTTGAACTCTTTCTGTGGAATCCTTCCCGGGCAATTGGCCACTTCTCCTCACGGTGGCCATGTGTGCCTAATGGCAGGCCACCGCCCACAGGCTCAGATTACACAGACTCTGACATAGAGCACTGGTGAGCCCTCAGAGTCCTTGTCCCAGAATAGCAGATTTCCTTTCAAGACAAAAGGTAATGAGATATCTTTGCAAATGCATTCTGACAGCCCACTCCTGAGACACACTAATGTGGAGCTGTTCTAGCTTCTTAAATGTAGAGACCCCAAGAACCCCTAAATCTCCTTGACTTCATCCCCACCTTTATCTGCCGCAGCCCCAGAGGCATATCTGCAAACCCAGGGGCTCCAGAAACATAATTTAAAAATACAGCTTACACCTAGATTACATCTTTCTACAGCTGAGCTCTGGAGCCCAAGTCTTCCACTGAATTGCAGTGAAGTCCTTTTCTTTGACCAGTCCCTCCTTGAGCAACAGGGAAAAATAGTTTCAATGATTTCTCCCATTCTACTAAGGGTGTGTGTGTGAGGTGTGTGCTTAATGTACACTAGATGGAGGGTTTCCCTATCCCAAGCAGAGTGCTAAGAGCTACATAGCTATTATCTTATTTGCTCTTTACTGCAAATTCAGGAGGGCAGGTAACTTGCTGAAGGGTCACACATCTAGTGAACAGTTTAGACTTCATCGAGCCCAGATCTGTTTTCCCCTCTACTCAGCTATCCAGTAACCACCAAAATCAAAACCTTCAGGACCAGGGAAGGCTGGCTCAGTTGCTTCACAGGGATTTCACTTAGTACTCAGGCTCTGTATCCCTCCTGAAGGAATTTCCAGGCTAAAGGTRTACAACAGAGCCAGCCAGCATTAGTGCTGCCAACTATGTACAGAGCAGGACTCTGGGATCACGTAGCCTGCCAAGGCTCTCTTGCCCATCTTCTGTGGGTTTGGTATTGAGGTTGATCATTATAAATAATAACAATCTAGGTAGCATTAATGAGCCCTGTAACTCAAGGCCAATTTATAACTAATCCCATAACTAGAAACCCAATCATCCAAAATTTGTGTGCTTTCCTTCCCAGAGTTTAATGTTGTTACGATTTTTGCCATTCTTGAACACAGTTAATTCTTAGATTTGACTTAATAAATCATCATTTCCTATTGAGAGGTGAGGCAGGGGTGAAAGGGAAAACAATGAATTTTTCACTTGAGCTAGAAATCCTTTAATCTTCTTGGACCCAAGTTTCCCCAGGCCTGTTTTTTAAATTTGAAATCTGACTTCCTTCCCAGTATTATTTTACATTCTTAATATTTTTTTTAGATGATAGAACAGAGAGTACCTCATTAAATCTTCCTGTGTCTTCAGATGGGATTGGTGACTCTTACTGAGAGAACCAGATTAAGATTTATAATGATTTAGGCCTGTTGCTTTAGGTGGACATAGACTGGAGAGAGTTTAGTGCTGATAAGCACAGGCCAGTTGACTTATGAAGGTAGAAAAACAGACCCATTTCAAACAGGGAGACTGCAATAGTATCCAGTGAGGGGTTACATGAGTGTGACACCATGTGGATTTAGTGGCTGGGAACCATGAGGTAATGGAGCCTCACTCAGTGAGGATCAGCTTTTGCTTGAGTTTGCTATTGACTGTGGGAACGTGCAACTGAAGCATGTCAAAATCCAGGAGTGGGGTACAAAGGTAATTCAAAGCTTGGAAAGAAGCTTCACTAAAGGGACAACTTACTGGCACTCTTTCTTTTCTTTTTTTTTTTTTTTTTTTTTTTTAACTAAGATGGGTCACAATTTAAGTATAGCACCCAAGTATATGATAGACAATGTTTATTTGCTTATTCATTCAAACATATTTATTTGCTTTGGTAGAGCAATAAAGATGGGATGTTGCTATAGTGATAGATCTTCTCAGTTTCAAGCTCAAAAGGGCTGGGAGAAGGAAAAGGACAATAATAGCAGGTTAGAGTCAAAATATACTTAGACATTGAGTGTTCTTCATTCTTAGGAATGCAAGAGTCTAGAAGCGTGTTTAATTGGGGGAATATGGATGAGTTTCCTACACAGGGACTTTTATTTAAAAGAGTTAGTATATTTTAGGGGAACGGTTTGATTAGCAATGCTATTTAATGCAAAAGCATAAAAGTCCTTCCTAGCCTTAGGATTCTGCACCTCCTTATTTTAACATTGGAAGAAACCAAACCAAAGCAGTCATTAATTCTGGAATCTCAAATCTGTCATCTGGTCACTGAACTATCCAAAAATTCTATTGTTTCCTATGGATATATAATTCCTACTCTCCCACTCCAAATCCTGCTGGGATTGCATTGATTATATTTTTTAGTTCATGACAAATTGACATCTTTAAAATGTCAACCTTCCAATCCATGACCACAATATATATATATTTATTTAGGTCTCCATTTTTTCCCCAGTAGTGTATTATAATTTTCACTTGAGAGGTGTCTCTCATCTTTAATTAGGTTAATGTCTAAGCATTTGAGGTGGTTGGATGCTATTGTCAAAAGCATGATCTGAACCGTTAAATTCATACCCAATGACAGGAGCCCATTTCTAATAGTTCTGCTCACCATGGGCAGAAGAGGAAGAATATTCATCAGTTTATTCTCTTCCAAAGTAGAAAAGGTCTAATATCTTCACTGCAGGAAACCAATTTCAGGACCCAAACATTGTAGCCCAGAAATTATTCTTTTGGTCTAACTAAATTCTCTGGTTGGCATTTTAACTTATTTTCCTTTTGTTTGGTTCACAGTTTGCCTTCTATAAAGGTTTCATATCTAGCAGCCTGCTCTTTGAATCATCACACAGCTACTCCATCCAGGAAAGCTTGTAAAAATATGTATAACTTCTATTAGGAAGGAATTTGCTCATGACACAGTATTAAGTTAAAAAATAAAGATAAAATTTTAGTTTTATTTTTTAGATATATGTGCTTTTAAAAAAGGTCAAAAGAGAATGCATAACAGTGTTTAATCTCTGGCTGACTAGCTTATTGGCTATTTTTTATACCTGTCCACATTTTCAAAATTTTTATGATAAATAGGAATGATCATCACACTAAGCCAAAAGTAAATAAATAACAACAAATTAAAATCAGTGTTTTTAAGTGAACAAAAGAAAATTTTAAACATAAAAGTAATGACTTAAACTTTACTTTCCCCCTTCATTGTGCAAAGTGTATTAAAATTTGCTAGTAAGATTAAAACAGGTGTGTGAGCTATCTCAAGATAATTGAGAAAGACAGACTTCTTTTTCATGGAGTTGACTTTCCTGGCAGGCCTCTGACGAGTTCTATATTCCATGCATTGCTGGTATCTACTCCTGAGACGTGGAAAACTCCAAGCACCTGTTTTATTTCCGACTCCCCTGATTCCTGGGGTAAATCCCATATCCACGGCATGGGCTCCAGTTAAATTCATTAGTGGTCCAGATGTGTGTCTCCCTGTTGGCTGCCCCAGTAACCCTGCTGTTTATTAACAGGTTCCCAGGAATCAGATAGCTCTCAGTCAGCCAAGAAGGACATGCTGGCCGCCTTGAAATCCAGGCAGGAGGCTCTGGAGGAAACCCTGCGCCAGAGGCTGGAGGAACTGAAGAGACTGTGTCTCCGGGAAGCTGTAAGAGTTAAATCTGTGTTGTCTGGGACATTATTGCTCCTAAGTATGGACAAAAGGCAAGGGTGGGGACCATGCAGAGCGCCTCCCAGGGAGGGTTCTTGCAAAGGTTAAAAACATCCACACCCCCATGATGAGCTTTGTCAGAAACAGCTGGAGCATGTGCAGGTCAGGTTGGTGTTGACTGACCCCACCAGGGGCCAARTGGAAAGTCATGCTAATAGTCCCTTATCCACGCATGGTACACCTCAGTTTATAAAGCGCTTCCTTATGTGACATTACCTTATTGAATAGAATGACTTGCCACCGCCTTCCCAAAAGGTTGTGCTTGGATTTATTATCCAAGCACCTTATGCTTCCCTTGAGGATATTTCAGTTTGTCTTTGGACATCATGAAGCATCATTGGGGGTCAACAGGGAAACCAGGATGTCCCTTCAGATGTTCAGTAGTCCTCTTGAAACCCCATGATCTGCTGTTTCTTTAACTCTTTTATTTAAAATAATAATAATAATAATCAAACTTTAGTCTAGTGATATGTTTAAATCCTATGTAAAGCAATGTCCCCTCAAACCTGTATCTATGCTAGTCTCAATTTTCAGAAGCCTGTAGTCTCTTGCAGGCCACTTCTGTGTTTGTTGAAGTGTCCATCTCAACCTTAAGAGATGGTAAAGATTGTTAGTCATGACTCTCTGCTAGCAGGGCTTGAGAGCTCATTTTTGAGGATAATACACATTGCTGGGCACGTGTGTGTGCAAAGGCTTGTACGTGGATACAGTGTGGGGGCTGCTTGTGCTCCACATAACTTGACAAAGAGCTCTGTTGGTAAACAGTTCAGAACAGGAAGTATAAAAGAGGCTCCCAAATGAAGTCTGAGAGACTTAATGTTCCCCTCCCCCAAATAATAATGCTTTGCAGCAGGAAGAATGAAACAAGGGCCACAGAGTGAGATCACATTACACTTCAACTTGGCTTAATTATGGTCTGGATTGATTTAAACCGGAGCCTGCTCAAAGCAGAACCACATTAGCACAAATCCATTGCAAATCTTAGGAAAGCACTTGGCCTCGTTGGGGGAATGTGCTATGTGATACTGTTAATATTAGCAACATTTTTATAAAGAATATGCTTGAAGGATTGAAAAATATGGGCTTTGGTGTCTGCCTTCAATAATTTGTAAAGTCTTGTTTTGTTTTTAAAAAAACAAAACTTTTTAAAAAAGGAAAAATCCCTCAGCCCAGCAGGGAGTTCACATTCAAAAATGTAAGAAAGTGTCAGGGCGAGGTTCTTGAGCTATTAAGGTCTCACTGTTTCTCCTAAAAAAAAAAAAAAAAAAAAAAACAAGCAAAATAAGGAAAACAAAGCTTCCGCTTTTTATGTTTTTTTTTAAAAAAAAAAAAAACAGAACTCAAGCAGAAGAAAGGACCCAACAAGAAGTCAGTGTCTGTTCCTTCAGCCACCACTCCAGTCTCTTGATGCATCTGTAACAAAGGGCTTGGGGTTTCCTGCTGGGTTCCTGGACTCACACAGGGCTCCCCCTTGGCTCAAGACTAGGGAGGAACTGTTTGACCCTCAGGAGCAGGGCAGCCAGAGTGAAGTAGACAGGGAGCTTTTGGCAGAATATAAAGAAAGGAACCAAGCCGAGGCCCCATAGCAGTGCCTTAAATTACTGCTCTGCCATGCGGCTCTGGTTACGGAYGAAATGAGATTAAATATCTGGAGAATCAAGACCTTGAGTCCTGTACCTTCAAGCAGATGGTGAGAAATCAGTAGCCTCATTTTTAAAATATATTTTAAAACCACAAACACTTTAGAGTTATAAATCCATGGCAATGTTAACAACCTCCCCCTCCCTTTTGTAAATTTCAAGGTACTAAGAAGAAAGTCCTAACAATATAAATCCTGCAGAAGGTTGTATTATTTATAGGCAGACTTTGAGGGGAACAGATGAAAAAAGTTGCTGAATAAACACATAACTACTTGGGAGATATTTGAACCACATTTTGTAAAAAGAAAGAAAAGAACAGGGGAGAACTTTGCACAGTGGTTCATACTCAAATGGTCGCCACTGTGCTCCAAAATGCTTACAATGAGGAAGAAAGAGTCTGGGGGTGGATTTGGGTTTTCCCAACATTGGACCATCAGGCCTGGGCTCCTGAGCACAAAAAGCTGTTTGTGTGGGTGATAGGGGTTCTGAGAAGTCACTTCTGGGCTCCTCTTTATCCAAGCAGCACCCTGAGCCTTTGTGCAGCATCTACATTGATTTGGGGCTGCAAAGCCAGAGCTGGGCTTTGCCTGGATATGCCCATTTTGCCATCGAAGGAATGCAGTGGTTCTCCCAGCCTTCTCCAATCTCTGGAAGTGACTTCTTAAAGCTTCTGCCTAGCCTCCATTGCATGGGTCCATTGCTGACTCCAGCTGATCTCTATTCAGCCCAGGTGTAGCACACTAACAGAGCCTAATTCTAATCCCGAACTGTGCCTCAGACCCCCACCCTTGACCCAGGATCCCTGTCACTATGAGGGACTGGTAACTAAATTCACTGTCATTGTACCCACAATAGTTAGATTTCCAGAGCCCAAAATACATACACAATAGATTCAGTTAGTAGCCTAATAAAATAGTTTAGATTTTCAGTTTCTACTAAAACTCTTAATGGAATAAGGTTAGTGTCTTAGCCTGTTTCTTGAGTATCTGGCCTGAGTAGAATAATTATTCTTCAAGGTTAGCCTTTAAATTATGTAATAATGCACTTTTCTGGAATTTTCCATATAGATACTGTTCCTCTTTTAAAAAGAATCAACAACAACAACAACAACTCATTTGAAAGAAATTTTAAACTTAGATCTGAAAGGAAATGTTTGACACAGTGGGAGGAACACAGGGCTTAGAGTAGAAGAGTATCGTAGAAGATGCTCATGAGATCAGCAAATTAATGAAATTAGAACATTTCAAAAGTCAATAGAACTTTTGTTTACTTGACAGAAATTGATTTTGGGGAAAAAACTTCACAAAGTGCATCTATTCTGTAAAGGAAGGAGGACTCGCAAAGACATTCAAAGAGATGGAATTTCATTTCATGAGCTCTTGTTTGGCATAGTGCTTAATGCTCATGTTTGTGATCTGTGCGTTGCAGTGTGTGCGTGTGTGTGCGCGTGTCCTGGAAAGGAAACAAGCCTGTGCTCCACTCTGGCTTCTAATCACTCCACATGCCATTTCACATATGCAGGAGCTCACCGGCAAGCTGCCAGTTGAATATCCCCTGGATCCAGGGGAGGAACCACCCATTGTTCGAAGAAGGATTGGCACAGCCTTCAAGTTGGATGAACAGAAAGTCCTGCCCAAAGGAGAGGTGTGTTCTTCCTCGCTGGTGTTGGTCTTATTTTTCCCAGTAGCCAGGGGCTCCCAGGTTCTCAGTAACTGTTTAATTCATTGCTATCCAAGGCCAGCATCTTCCCTTTTACCTTGAGTGAGCTGGTTAGTGGCTATGTGGCTTCCTGAGGTAGGATGAATTTGCTTGCCTTTAAACATCGGATTTCTGTTAAAGTTGTTTGCTGAACACTATAGACCTTTTGAAAGTGGCTCAAATAAGTTTGAACACTATAGACCTTTTGAAAGTGGCTCAAACAAGTATACATGAATGTATACTTGTCTTTTCAATGTTCTCCCAGCCTTTTGTTGCTCAGAGCCATGCCTCATGTGCTCTGTGGAAGAAAACACCCAAGAGGAAGGGAAACAGGCAGTGTCTACTATTGCAAGGAGTTCATGAGCCAGGGAAGAGCAATGAGGGCATGCTTCATGTGACCCTAATTCRCTTGGTTGCGAAAATCCCCACAAAAACATGAACAAGTCGCTTGCCCTGCCCTGGCCTCACTTGCCTGTGTTTGGAGAAGCCTCATTTCAGTACAGGTTTTTATCCTCTTGGAGCTGAACACTGATGGAGGCAGGGGGTGGAGAATCCAGAATTAGGGAGAAAACAAATAACGAAATTAAAAAAGTAGCCAGTAAGTATCTAGGTTCAGTCCAAGAGAAGTGAAAAGCCAGGTTTTACCTTCAAGGCTCAGGATCATGTTCAGGAAGTGTCTTCCCAAGTTTATTCTGAATATAACCCTGAGAGGGACCAAGTGCCCTGGTGCCAATGTTGAAGACACTCCTGAGACTTGCAGTTTCAGATCCCCGGGAGACCTGGTGCACACACCTGAGTGTTTCATCTAGAATGAAAACTCACCCAGGCCTCKTCCCTTTTCTGTGAAATGGCATTCATGATGCCGAAATCCTTGGGTTATTACTAGGATTAAATGAGATCGTATATGAAAAACATGGCACTGAGTACTCAAATGTCTGCTTGATGCTCATCCAAAATCAGTTAATCAAAATGGAGAAGAAATGCCAGAGGAAAGGTGTCACTTAGGAGGCCATCTGACCAGGTGTATTTTAAATTCTAGTGGTCTTTAGACTTGCCTCAAGAACTTCACCTCCCCTTGGTACAGAGCAGATACCTGGCACTTAAACTTTAAAAAGTACCCCCATTTTTAGTGAATGCTCCATACCCCATTGGGCATCCTGTGGTTCCACTGTGGTTTCTGCTTGTCAGTGGAAGCTGACTTCTGTGCCCTGAGAACTCCATGTGCCTCACATCTCCCTTACCTGTCCCTGCCCACTGTCTTTCCTAAGTGCATAAAAGGATAACTCTGGAAAGTTACCCTGGGAAGGAAGAGACCTCTCTTGGCTCTCACTGCTTCAGTTTCTCCTGGAAATGTGTTCTGCTTTCCTGTTCATATAACCATTTGCACAGAGTGGGCGTGCAGCCTTGTACTTGTCTTAGTATTGAAATTTGTCCTGGACTCCCACAAAACTCAGGGTCAGTGTCTTGGGCCAGGACTATTGTAACCACCTGGGAACAGCTGCTTGGTGGAGCCCAATGTCACAGAATGGTCTTTGTCCCCATTTCAAGGCCCCGGGCAGGAGTCCATGTCTATATCCTCCCAGCCAGCTTTGGAAGGAGTTTATTATCCCCTAAATAGTTCCGTTTGGCCTTCACCTTTTCCTCTTACTCCTGGTTCCTGCTCCCTTGAGGCTTCAGTGCTCAAAAGTAAATGAAATCAGAGGAGGAATGTTGTCTTTGGTGAGGCCTCCAGCCTGGCACATTTTGCCCAGAAGCAATAGAAAAATCTGTTGATTCCAGCAAACATGGCCATCTCCTCCTACTTGGTTAGATCAGTTCTTGTCAGACTTTGCAGATTGCCTATGGCAAGATTCGTGGTCTCTCCTGGCCACTTGTGGGTATTGGGAGGAGCCACTGAGGCCTTGGTCATGGGTTTTATAAGCTATGGGGTCAGAGAGTCCACCCACCTCTCTTGCAGGCCTGAGTACTGCCCAGGCTGCTGGACCCTGGACCAGTGAGACAGCAAGCAGCCCACAGTTCCAGATCTGAGCCTGAACATGTGCTGCTTAGAGCTAGCTTTGGTTGAAGGGGATTCACTGGGAGAGAGGGGAAATACACTTTGGGAGGGATTGTGCATCACCCCCAAATGCTCACAATACATGTATGAGCAGCCTCCTCCCTGTTCCCTCAGCAGCTGGTGTACRTACATCAGCAGAGGAGATGACTTGTCCAGAGAGGCCAGCAGCAAACACTCCATCCAGGGAACAGCATGTTTGGGTCCTCCAGCTATATCTGACATGCAGGACTTCATTTCTCCCAGGACTAGAACTCTGGGGGGAAAGAGATAGAGGTGGGAGGGAGCCAACCAAGAGGGAAGGAAGGAGGAGACCCTGAAACTCATCCAAGGAGCTGGGGGAAAACTCACTCCGCCATCACTCACTGTCTGTGCCTCATGGAGGGTCATGTCATAGCCTGAGCAGGGYTTCCATGAATAGATAGGTCTGAGAGGGACAGCAGGGGTTTATAAATACATAGGTGAGTGGGGTATGTCCCAACTTGGGTGAGGCACAAATATGTGAGACAGAGGCACCTGTGGGTGAGTGGAAGAGATGCACCAATATAAGCAAACCTGAGAAGAATCATAGAAGATTCTAGAAATAACGCTGCATCCTATGCCCCCAATGGGAAGGAAATGATAGCCAGATAGGCACGAAGGCTTGCTGTTCATGAACCTTATTGGAGGCAGTGAAATAAAACCAAGCAAGCCTTGCCGGGGGGCGGGGGCTGGGGGGTCCTGGGCAAGGGATGGGGAGGATGGGTGGCTCTCTGCTCAGCATCTCCAACAAGTGTCAACCACAGCTTTCCCTCCCACAGGAAGCCGAGTTGGAACGACTGGAACGAGAGTTTGCAATTCAGTCCCAGATTACGGAGGCTGCCCGCCGCCTTGCCAGTGACCCCAATGTCAGCAAAAAACTGAAGAAACAAAGAAAAACCTCTTATCTGAATGCACTGAAGAAGCTGCAGGAGATTGAAAATGCAATCAATGAGAACCGCATCAAGTCTGGGAAAAAACCCACCCAGAGGGCTTCACTGGTCATAGACGGTCAGTGCCATCCAGGTTGCCCCTGCCCCACTCCCACACTAGGCCTCTCTGAACCAGACAGCAGATCTGCTCATGGTCCTAGGCTCAGCTCCCTGCATGGCCTAAGTGGCTGCTTAGCCATCCTGTGCCTTATTGTCCACCTGTGAAATGATGCAACACCAAGTCACTGTGAACAAGTACATCTAGCTCCACAGATGAACAGCATTGTACAAGCAGCCTCATTCCCAACTATTGATGGCTCCCTGGGGGAGCCTGCAGCCATAAGGCAACACTGCAGCCCTCAGCAGGAGCTGAGTCCAGTTGACTGTGCTAGTCCAACCTAGCCTAGAGCTAGCTCAGGCTCTGCCATTCTGAGGGACCTGATCACCTTCCCCAAGGCAAGGTGGATGGGCTGTACCCAGCAGCAGGGTCTCCTGTATTCAACCAGGCCCTGCAGGCCTCCTCCCCCTGCCAATTCTTTGCCCCCATCAAGCTGATTCTGTTGCTATCAAAAGAGCTATGATTTGGGAGGACTGGACTTGTCCCCTCAGATTGCCTTGAACTCCAATCAGGATTGGGAGTTTAGGTGACAATGTTTGGTAAATTCTAAAATGAAATACCCAGAAAAACCCATCAACAAACATCAAGTCTCCCTAGCTGTAACAGTTCTTTTAAAAAAAAAATCAGCAAATTTTTAAAAATGTATGTTAAATATTCTTAGTGTATGTATGTTTAAAATACTTCTGCTTTCCAGGCACAGTGGCTCATACCTGTAATCCCAGTGGCTGGGGAGGCTGAAGCAGGAGGATGGTGAATTCAAAGCCAGCCTCAGCAACTTAGTTGAGCTGGAACACCCCCAAGTGCCTTCAAGGGGGCAGAAGGAAGTCTCAAAGGAAGTCTGAGACAGAGAAGGGCTGACTAAAGGCAGCCCTATTGGGAGCGGGAAGTTAACATGGTCCTGGCCAAGGAAGCAGGGTAAGGTAGGGAAGAATGGGCATTTCTAAATTCCTAGGGCAGAAAGAGTTCTTAGAGCCAGCACCTCCCTCCTCTCCTACTAGGAAGTCATTGTTTTCGTATTCTTTGACAGATGAATATGAAACTTAGTGAGGCCCTTTCTCTAAGTAAAATATGAAAACTGGTTGGGGGGTGTGGCTCGGCGGTTAAGTGCCTCTGAGTTCAATCCCCAGTACCAAAAAATTAAAATAAAAAAAAAAATAAAAATAAAATAATAATAATAATGCAGTGCTTCTGGTTCTAGAAAGAAGAATAGAGGCTCCCAGGAGCTGAGGGGAAGGAGGAGTTACTGCTTAATGGGTACTGGGTTTCAGTTTGGAGAATTAAAATGTTACCCAATCAGAAGATGACTGGCAGTGATGTCACACAACAGTGTGAATGCACTTAATGCCACTTACTGAACAATTAAAATGGTGAATCCAATGCAACTTACATTTTACCACAATTATATATATATATCTTCAACCTAAAACTGTGGGCTTACTAGGGAAGCAGTGATATACTTGAGATGACAGAAGGCCAAAGTCCTAGCTGTTCACATCTGTCAAAGAATATGAAAACAATGACTTCCCAGTGGGAGAGGAGGGAGGAGCTGGCTATAAGAACTCTTTCTGCCCTGGGAATCTCGAAATGCCCATCCTTCCCTACCTTACCCTGCTTCCTTGGCCAGGACCGTGTAACTCCCTGCTCCCAACAGAGCTGCAATTCGCCAGCCCTTCTCTGTCTCAGGCTTCCTTTGAGACTTCCTTCTGCCCCCCTGAAGGCACTTGGGGTGTTCCAACTCAACAGAAGCATCCAGAGCMCCAACTGGGTAGGGCAGTTCAGGAATGACCATCTTGCTGGGTGGCCACCAGGAAAGCCTACTCTTAGGTCTGCCTGAATGAGGGCTATTCTGTTGGTTCTGCTGACAGAATTGCTTTTTAAATCATTATCTGTGCCAACTCCTGTATCCTTCTGTCCACACCTCAGCTTTGGGTTTTTTTTTTTTTTTTCGCCCCCCTCCACAGTACTGAGGATTAAACTCAGGCATATTCTGCCACTGGACTATAACCCTGGTCCTTTCTATTTTTTATATTATTTTGAGAATGTGTCTCACTGACTTGTCCAGGTTGGCCTAGAATTTTCGATCCTCCTGTCTCAGCCTCCCAAGTTGCTGGATGTATAGGTACATTCCACAGGCATCTAGCAAGATAATTTCTTGCTCCTAGCAAGATAATTTCCCTAGTGCTGAGGACTTAATCCAAGCCTTGGCGCATGCTAGGAAATGGCTCTACCACTAAGCTATACTCCATGCTTTTTTTTTTCTTTTTTTAATTGCTCAAGAATCTACTTTTTGTGTGTTGAAATTAGGCCCTCATCACAAAGGCCCACTTAAGTTAGGCATAAATACGGTTCTGCATAGCTTCTTAGCTTGTTTTTTTTTTTTTTTTTTAATTTCAATAGATAAAACACTAAACTTGAAATCTGAAGACCTGGGAGAGGTCTCACTTTGCCAGGAGATCAGAGAAACTTCAGACAACCCCCCCCCTTCCTGGGTGCACCTCAGTTTCCCCAGTGGTGAAAGAGGAAGGATTATTTTACTGTCTCCCTCTTGGGTGTGTTCTTAATTGAATGGTGTCTAGAGAGATGGAGTCTGTATTTAGCATGCTTGTTTTCTTTGCTAATGACTTCAGGAGTTTATTGAGAAGCCATTTATTGCCATGCGAGCAAAGTTGAGTTTCCTACCCTAGTTTCACATTTGTGGAATAAATAGCAGTTGACTTCCTTTGGTTTAGTCGGTACATGCCCTGCGTTTGTGCTGGGACAATGATGTGGCTTAACCAGGCTGGGCAGCCTTTGTATTAGATATTAAGCTGTTCTGCACCACAGTATCCCRGGAACAAGAGCAAAAATACACAAAGATAGAAGTACATTGCATTGTCAGGGGTGGGGAGGATAAGCTATTGACCCACCATAGGAATTATCAAAAGAAATGCTCGACAGCATTTTTATTACATTGTACATGTCCTTTCAGATTAGAAAGAGGATATGGGGGTGGCAAGCACTCTGCTCTTACAGATAGGGCTTTGTTTCGGGAATGTGCTAACATCATAGACTTTTGTTATTTTGTCTTGCAGATGGAAACATTGCCAGTGAAGATAGCTCCCTCTCTGATGCCCTTGTTCTTGAAGACGGTAGGTTTTCTGTTTCCTGCCTTAAAAGGTGGAGCACAGATTAAGCTGGGATTAATGTGTATGCATGTGGGCACAGCCTTGTATAGAGGCTCTTGCCAGGTGGAGGTGGCAGCCAGATTCCCTGCAAGTTGTCTCATTTGATAGTCACTATTTGGTCAGGACTCGAGGGTGCTACATAAACATGTTTATTGGAATTTTAGTATTTCCGGGGGCCCAGACCTGAGATTTGAGGTGATATTCAGCGAATGATGCTTCTCTTTTGTAGCAGCCAAAACCACTTTTTTAACTAAACAGAATCTACAACCTGTGCCTAGTTTCTTTTTGAATGTTTATAATATATGGAGGAGATTGAGTTGGAGCACAAATTAGAGGGTGGCCCCACAGGGAAAATCTGGGGCTAATAGGAAAGAATAAACCAAACTTCTGTCTCTTCCTGAGACCGTAGTAAAAATCAGAGGCCTGATTCTCCTTCAGACCCCTGGCCAACCTTGCAAGTTGCCTCATTATTTCCCATGGAACTCTTCAATCCTGGTGGTTACCAGGACATTTCCTTGGCAATTCTTAGAAAAACAGAGCTGTATCCTCAAACCTACACCACCACCACCACCACCACCACCACCATCTCCATTGGAAATAAGAAATCCAAACACAGGACCATGTCTGAGAATGTTCTTGAGGATTTAAGACCAAAATGTTGGAAGGCAAGGGCATTAATTATATGGAAATATATTAAGTGGCAGTTAATTCTCTTGCCCTTTAGGAAAACCTCAGGCGGGCAGTGATAAGTGGCTATTCAGATGGAAAACATAAAAGGCCTACCCAGTGGTAGTAATAATGATAATTGCAATAATAATAATGATGGCTCTTGATGTGGGGAGAGTCTGGTGAGTTATTTACCCAGTTGTCTTGGCCCTGCTATTAGGAATCAGATTATAATATTTTTATTGTCTGCTTCATTATATGGGTGTGGAGGACACAGGGCTCTTCGTGAGCAGGGAGGCTTGTTTTGAATATCAAAGACCCCAGTCCTGTTGTTGATCCCTGATATACCAGAAACTCCTGGGGAGGGAGCAAGAGTGAGTTGGTGAAAACCCTTTGTAATATTGTAATATTGTAATATTGTAATATTGTAATTTGTAATTTGTAATATTGCCAGAGCAATAGATAGTGTTGCTAGAAAAATTCAGAGATATCATCTATGATTATAGTTTCTTCCCCATGTCTCAGAACTTTGGACTTCCTAGGGGTGTCATTGCCTCCCTTGCTGCCTCCTGCTCCCATTGCAGGCTCTTCCTTTCTAGGGACTCTTCCTGCTCTGAATGGAGGGACATAGAAAGAATGGAAACATCACAGACATCCAGGCTTCAAGGTTGAGAGGTTGAGAATTAAGCTATAGAAAGATGAATAGTTCAAAGTGGATGTAAGGGGTGCACAAAAGGTTGCTGGGGTTCCCCCTCCAGTTCCCCTCCCTTCCCAGCAACCGCCGAGCAGCTCCTCCCCTCCCCTCTCAATGCCACCCTGCCCCAGGTTCTCATCACCAGACCTCTTCAGTGGTCCTTCCAAGTCCCTCATCCTGCCTTTCCAGAGGCCGAACCTGCCAGGTGAATAGTTCTAAAGTAGTATCTTCACCCTGACACATCTGTGCTCAAGATGTCGAAAAGGTTTCTGGTGGCTTGCAGACCAAATCCCAGCACCTTTGAAACTCAAGGCCCCCACAGCCGGGCTCGATGCTCATTGTGGTGTGTCCACAGTGGGTATATTCACACAGTGGRTCTGTTATACCTCCCAGATTGCCTCCCTTGCTCCCTTTGCTCTTCTCACCAGTTGCTGCTGCCCCTGGGTGGTCCCTGCTGCTCGCACCCACTGTGCTTGCACCCACGCCTTAGCTCAACTTCTTTCCTTCCTCCTCTGTCCGTCCACCACCTGTCCACTGCCTGGTTCCCTTCCAGCAGTTCCTCCCCAACCATATCTGCATTCTCCAAAACTCTTCTAGCACAGTGTTATTATTCCCTGAAGGCTGGGAAAAATTTATCCCCTCCCCTTCCAAGAAAATTCAAAGCAGTTCCAACATTCAAAGTAATCAGAACATACCAGGTACAGTGGTGCACACCTGTGATTCCAGCTACTTGAGAGGCTGAGGCAAGAAGATCACATGTTCGAGGCCAGCCTGGGCAGCTTAGCAAGATCCTGTCTCAAAGTAAAAATCAGAAAACACTAGGGATGTAGTTCAATGGTAGAACATCTATGGGTTTAACTCCCCCCCACCAGTTTCCTCAGAACAAATTAAAAGAGAATATAGATAATTCAGGGGGGATAAAAAGCAGAGAGTAGATACCCAGATCCACAGTATATAATTACACTTGATAGATATATTTACATTCATTTTTAAATCTCCAACAACTGCTTATTGAGCACTTACTGTGTGTCAGCTGTCATTCATGGCCCTAAGGACTTAGCAGTGAACAGAGCCAACAAAATTTTCATGGAGCTCAAATTGCTTCAAAGCCTATCAGACACTTAATGTCTTGTGAAAGAAAAGTAACAGGTCCCAGGATTTAGCTCAGTAGTACAGCACATGCCTAGCAATTGTGTAAGCCCTGGGTTTGATCCCTAATACCAAAAAAAGAGAGAGAAAAAGTTGCAATATAATAAGTGATAACTGCATTATGCTGTTTGGTATAAAGCAAACATCTGTTAATGGTCTTGAATAAAATTCAGACTTTATTCGTGTCTAATAAAAATGACACCTCTCTTCCCATTTAATTTTGTTTGAAGTTTAGGCTTGGTTGACTCTGGTTTGGCTTGACTTGGCCTCATTGTCTTGGAAACTGGGAGAGAGTGATGAGGCCAGCCTGGGAGAATCAAAGGTGTTATTTGCTTGTGTGCCTCCCAGGTGCTGATGTGRGTGGCATTGGGGTGGCGACTCTGGTTCAGAGTTTGTGGAAGGGATGATCCGTGCTCAGTTCCTCTGTCTTTTCTCTGTGCAGAAGACTCTCAGGTCACCAGCACAATATCCCCCTTACAGTCTCCTCACAAGGGACTTCCTCCTCGGCCACCATCGCACAACAGGCCTCCTCCTCCCCAGTCCCTGGAGGGACTCAGGCAGATGCACTATCACCGCAACGACTATGACAAGTCACCCATAAAGCCCAAAATGTGGAGTGAGTCCTCTTTGGATGAGCCTTATGAGAAGGTCAAGAAACGCTCCTCTCACGGTCATTCCAGGTGAGTCGGGTAGTGAAACCCAAAATGAAGTCACTGTCYACATCTGGAGAGAATCCAAGGGCTATTCCAAATAGCACCCACAAATCCCAAAACACAACCTAGTTCCTCCTTCCAGGGTTTGCTATTCTCACAGCGCCCTCTGCTGCTGACCCTCCTGAGGTGCGGATATGTTATCCAAAGGGTTTGGCTCAAGCTCAATGTGTTGGCAGATGGCTCTAATGTTGTTAAATTCCACAGGAATTAATTAGGAAATCTTAGGCAGTACTCTTCAAAAAAAAAAAAATGGTAAATGAGAGACCACTCATAGGAATCCCAAAGTGGTTCAGAACCCTAAACCATCTTCCAACAGAATTCTGGAGCCAAACAGCTGTAATCTGAGCTGAATATTATCAGCTCATTATTTGGCTAATATTGTAAAGAGGGTTTTTTTTTTTTCTTTTTTTGGAAGGCATTTTTGGTCCACTTCTCTGTTTTTCTCATTTCCCTTAATTACACCCTATAAAGCTCCAAGTGGGTGCCCCGACAGGTAATTGTCTCTTGGAAAACCAAAACCATAAAGAGAGGGGCTTGACAGAATTGTCACACTATACCTATTACAGAGAAGGTGAAGGAGAGTGTTCATTTCACATTGCCTGCAGGTGTGGGGAGCAGGGACAAGGCCCCCCACCCACTGCTTGAGGAAAGGCTGGAGACCACAGTAGAGACCTGTAGGAGCAAGGCCGGGAGTCCTGGCAAACTCTCCCCACACCAAGATCCATGTCCCAAGCTAGTTAAGACTGCTGGGGAAAGGTGCTGCGGTCTGGGAGGATCAGCATGGCTTCCTTTGTTTTTCAGTAGCCACAAGCGCTTCCCCAGCACAGGAAGCTGCGCTGAAGCAGGAGGAGGAAGCAGCTCCTTACAGAACAGTCCTATCCGCGGCCTCCCGCACTGGAACTCCCAGTCTAGCATGCCATCCACACCAGACCTGCGCRTCCGAAGCCCCCACTACGTCCATTCCACAAGGTGAGTCCATTGGGCTTTCAGTCCACTCACCTTCCTGGACCAGCCCTTCCTTCGTACAATAAAGCATCCCTGGCCCAATTAGCCCAAATGCCAGGTGAGGTAGAATAAGGCCTGAAACGGTTAGGCAGGTTCTCTCTAAATGAAGCAGAATAAACAGCTGGCAGCAGTGAGCTTACTTTAGTGTAACTGAAGTTAGAGCCCATTGTCCACACGCAGTAACATGTGGAGACTACTRGAGAGTCCCCAGGCTCCTGGAGACAGTCAAGGAGGACTGAGCTTTATCAGTGGAAGCAGAGGAAGGACAGGATAGCCAGGGTGGCCTAGGAAGAGCAGGGACCAGAACAACTGTGTACTGATGGAAGTTCTTCATTTGATAATCCTCATGTATCTTTTTGCCAAGACCTAAATTTATTTGGTACTTTCTTTAAGGCCTCAAAATGTAAATTTGTGAAGAGCAAAAGAAACAGGCAAAAATTAGGCTTTCATGAATCACACATTCATTTTCTAAAAATTGTGGAAAAGCCACTTGGTGGAGGCTTCCAGTTCTACCCTAGTGACAGAACAAGAGCTCCCCTCTGCCTGTACATGGCCAAGGTGAAATTTCACCTGTAAATCCCATCATTTGCCCAGTGATACTGATGGATAATTATAGTGTGAACTCAAATAAGCAGAATGAATCATAGAYAAAGTAATAGTATAATTTGCATCTTACATTTTTAAGGGTTTTGGTGTTCCATGGATCCTCCACTTTAGCATCTTCACAGGAAATGAATATCCATTTATATGAGTTTCATGGTAACATTTGGTTAAACCACATGAAAGGGCTTCTGTTGGACTTTTTTTTTTAACCAACAAGAGGGTTTATAGAGTTCAACATAATACTTAAAATAGTGATTCTTCSACCTTCAAAAAATAAAAATGTTTTAAACATCAGAAAGTTGGAGGAAGCCCTTGTGTGAGTCCTAGCGCAGTCCCACCTCCCACTGGGAATTCAAAGCWGATTCCTGGCCCCACCTCCCGGTATCAGCAGTTCCCTATTCAGGTGCAAACTGGAGAAGCATGTGGATTTCTAGGGCAACCCTGCCTAGAATCCCAATTTCCTAGACTCCCTTTGCTGGGCCCTCTGAGCCTGCATATGTTTTGTGCCTCCTAAGTACAATGAGTGGAGCGSCCTCCTTGGCATCCTTTCCTCTAGAGACCCCCAGACCAAGCCCGCGTCTCCCTGCAGGTCCGTGGACATCAGCCCCACGCGACTGCACAGCCTCGCATTGCACTTTAGGCACCGGAGCTCCAGCTTGGAGTCCCAGGGCAAGCTCCTGGGCTCGGAGAACGACACGGGGAGCCCCGACTTCTACACCCCGCGGACTCGTAGCAGCAATGGCTCAGACCCCATGGACGACTGTTCATCGTGCACCAGCCACTCGAGCTCGGAGCACTACTACCCGGCGCAGATGAATGCCAACTACTCGACGCTGGCAGAGGACTCKCCGTCCAAGGCGCGGCAGCGRCAGCGGCAGCGGCAGCGGGCGGCGGGCGCACTGGGCTCGGCGAGCTCGGGCAGCATGCCCAACCTGGCCGCGCGCGGTGGCGCTGCGGGGCCGGGGGGCGCGGGCGCGGGCGGTGGCGTGTACCTGCACAGCCAGAGCCAGCCCAGCTCGCAGTACCGCATCAAGGAGTACCCACTGTACATCGAGGGCAGYGCCACGCCCGTGGTGGTGCGCAGCCTGGAGAGCGACCAGGAGGGCCACTACAGCGTCAAGGCGCAATTTAAGACCTCCAACTCCTACACGGCAGGTGGCCTGTTCAAGGAGAGCTGGCGCGGTGGCGGAGATGARGGCGACGCGGGCCGCCTGACGCCGTCGCGCTCACAGATCTTAAGGACTCCGTCACTGGGCCGCGAGGGCTCCCACGACAAGGGCGCGGGCCGGGCCGCCGTGTCGGATGAGCTGCGCCAGTGGTACCAGCGCTCCACAGCCTCGCACAAGGAGCACAGCCGCCTGTCGCACACCAGCTCCACCTCCTCCGACAGCGGCTCGCAGTACAGCACCTCCTCCCAGAGCACCTTTGTGGCGCACAGCAGGGTCACCAGGATGCCCCAGATGTGCAAGGCCACGTCAGGTGAGAGGGACAGCAGGGTGGATCTGGGTGCCAACTACCAGGAGGTCTCCTTAGACCTCACAGTGGGGRAGGAATCATTAATTCTGGTCACCTTGCTGTCAGATGTAGGAGACCTACAGTCTGCGGGACTCTCCCATTCTAACCCTGGTCTTGCAGAATAAAGGAAATCTGACCTTCCATAGTGGACTGGATCTACTTTCYCTCTGCTTCCTTAGCTGAGGGGCAAATCATTCCTCCAGCCACTTTCTKGTAAGGACAGACATCTGAGAAAGTTATGTGACGTGGTTTCTCAGCGTTTATCCAGCCAAGGCGCCTCTTTATACCCCTACAAAGGAAAGTTGGGTGGGGGATGGACTTGGGTCTTGCGGCCTAGAGATTCCTGCTAGTGCCTCCCAGATGGGGATAAATTGGCTTAGTAAAGAAGTGCTCTGGGCTCTGAATTTGATATGGATATCTAAATGAATACCTCTCGACTGCTTCTGGCTTTCCCATTTCTATGTTATGATATAGCTGCAAAGTAATTTTTATAAAGTGCTCTCAGTCCCCTTTATAGTACTACTGAAAATTTCCATAAACCAAGGTTTGCTTTATATTTTTGTACTCAGAGCATTGAGCAGTACTGAATGGAGTAAAAATGGAAGAAACCATTCTTTCCTTTAACAAGTTTCAGAAGTTACTCTAAGAAATAATAATGGTGAGGGCTGGGGTTGTGACTCTGGTAGAGCACTTGCGTAGCACATGTGAAGCACTGGGTTCAATCCTAGCACCACATAAAAATAAAGATATTGTGTTCACCTATGACTAAAAAAAAAATTAAAGAAATAATAATGGTGATAATAACCACCACTGGTCCATCAGTGATCATGTGCCTCATTGGTCATGTACTTGTTTGCATACTTGCACCAYTCATAAACAGGGTGACAAGAGGTTCTGCCTCCCCCTGACTTGTAGGCAAAGAAAGTGGAAGAGGAAGATTTTGAGACAGAAGTGATAAACACTGCAAGAGTAAAATGAGAGCACAAACAGGAGGAGAGCTCCAAGTCAAGGACTGACTTGCTTAAGTAGGATAATAGTGGGGAGGATCATCTWTGGGGACTGAAGGAGATTCTTGGAGCCTGGAAGAGACCAGGGCAAAGTAGAAGAATTGGCTGTTCAGGTATGCCAGGCTTCTGCATTCTACTTCCACATCCCCCCCAGTGGCTCAGTTATTAGGGTACATTGGTCATATGACAAACTTCAGAGACCAGAATAAAAATGATTGCAGTAATCACGAGCRTCCCATGGATTCCAACATCCTACAACTTTCTTCATGTTCCTTGGTCTGTAAAATTGACCCAGTGAAATTTACCATTGAYTTCCTAGGCAAGTTTTGGCAATGGACACATTACATGTACTATTTAGGGCATGATTGTCCGTGACCCTTAGTTCTGGCTTTTTGTAAATGTCAATGGGTAGGAGTGCTTATGTTTTATATCAAAAATGTAGTGCTCATCTAGTAGATCTGCTTTACTTAAAGAGGTTAGGTAGATCTTTTGGAACATATTTTAGGCTGAAAACTTTTAGGAAGCTGTGTTTTAGCTTTTTTCAAAACTGAGACCAAAAGACTTGACTGGAACAATTTTAGAAGAATAAAAGTTTATTTGGGGGCTCACAGTTTCAGAARTCTTGGTTCATAGATGGCCAATTCCATTGCTCTGGGCCCAAACCATGGCAAAGCATCATGGCAGAATGGTGTGGTTGAGRAAAGCAGCTCAGGACATGRCACCAGGAAGTAAAGAGRTGGYCTAAGCTCAGTTTATACAATATATACCCCAAGAACACCCCCAGTGAYCCTCCTCCTCCAGCCACAACCTACCTACCTACACTCACAACTCAGTTAATCCCTATCAGGGGATTAATCTGCTGATTMGATTAAGACTCTCWTAACCCAATCATTTCATCTCTAAGCTTTCTTGCATTGTTCCACAYTTGAGCCTTGGGGGGGMGGGGGAGGGGGCAGGGGACGCCTCATATCTAAACCATAACAAGCTGTATCTAAGGTTGACTGAAGAAAAGGATTCCATTCCCAGGAAAGCAAAGGATGCATCTAAGTAGGATTTACTCCTGCTGAATTCTCCCAACTAGACTTATGTTGTCCACGTCAACAAACTCTCAGTAGTCAGGTATGGATGAGTAAAAGTTCTGCCTGTTTTGAAGGGTACTAAAATAGCAAATGGTGAGCCTGAAACAGCAGAGAGAGCAGGCTCAGAGAACTTTCTGGAGGTTCTGTCATAGAGGGGAGCATCATCTTTACACTGGGGCCACATCTGAGAATGCTCTGAGCTGTATCTCTCTGCWCTCCAGAGAAATCAGCTCTTTCTGCACTAGCCTTGCCCAGTTCTCCCTCAAAAGACTGAGGAGTCTGAGGTTGGGACCTAGGATACCAGGTCAGCCTGAGTCAAAATGGAAATGCATGGTTTAGGGGAGAAAATGCAGGAGTGGGGGCGACAGAGATGTTTCCCCACTGTGACTGCCATCGGGTCACTGAGACCCTAYTGTGGGGTCATGTCCTGCATCCCTGCTAATTGTGATCCCTAACCATTGAGGATGCATAGTCCAATGAGTCCTAAGCACCCTTATCAGGTCTGACCCATCTTCTCCGTCTTTCCCATGTCACCCACATACAGCTGCCTTACCTCAAAGCCAGAGAAGCTCAACACCGTCAAGTGAAATCGGAGCCACCCCCCCAAGCAGTCCCCACCACATCCTAACCTGGCAGACTGGGTGAGTTCTCCCTCCAGTCCTTTAACCTGGTTCTTCTTCCAGGTTCCTGACTTGTCAGCTAGGAAGACTTGTCATCTGTGTAAAGTCTTAGTGACATAAAGCTATATCATCAACCAATGACGGGAGCGCATTACTGGGAAACTGATTCCTTGCCAAAGAAGCCCCATGACTTGCTGTCACCTTCTACCCCACTTCATGGCCCTCTTTTAGGAGTGAAGTCAGTATGGACTCTTTTAAAGTAGGTAGTGATCCCCAGGACATGGGGAGGTGGAAGCAAGTAGGATTGTATTTCTTTGGTCAGGATTCCAGACAAGATTTGATTTGGGTTTAGTTGATACCCAGGATGACTCAAAATGCCAGGCAAAAGTGTCAGAGGAGAGCCAGGTGCAGTGGTACATGTCTGTTTTCCTACCAAYTCAGGAGGCTGAGATAGGAGGATCACAAGATTGAGATCAGATGGGAATTTAGCAAGACACTGTCTCAAAAGGAAAAATAAAAAGGGTTGGGGATGTAGCTCAGTGATTGAGTACACCTGGCTTCAATCTCCAGTGCCACACACAAAAAAAAAAAAAAAAAAAAAAAAAAGAGGGTGGGGGAGAAGAAGAGTTAGAGAAGGCCCTATGGTATATACCAGGCCAGGTGTTTCACATGCTTCTCAGTGTATTCACTATCTTAATAACAGGATGCATCTTAAGAAACAGGCTTCTGTCCAGGCCAAACACTGGACAACAAAGGTGATTGGGTACCTTGAAACCTTTAAATAGAAGCTGCCCACGGCAAAATACATGCAACCAGAATTCAGTTCCTTTTGTAGCTTTAAACATAGGCCTAGAGTGCTACATCTGTAGCCAGTAAAGCTGTCATTATCTACCAGAGGTCCCACAGGTACAGGTAACCTGTTTTGTCCTTCACTTGCTGTCTCCCCTGTCTCGTAAGCCATTGTCTCTTAATATTTGTTGGTTAGAGGAGCAAGGGGGTCCCATGTCCAGCTTAATCCACAGTTTCTGGTTTGCTAGAGCATTGGTGAGGATATCTGGAAAAATTTGACCGTCATCTGTGAGCTGAATCRCAAGAAAACCAGTCTTGCCATTGGCTCTGGTGGCCAAATCTCAGATCCCTRTGGTTGGCATTTTTGTTGCTGCCTGTTTATCTGTAATGATTTTATGCCAGGCTTCCTGGAGCCTTGGTTTTGATGTGGAAAGGCGGAGCTAACACTTATTGAGTGCTTGCTGTGTACTCAAAGGCTGGGAGCTTCTTCTAASGTTTATGTGCTGCACCCTGGCAAAGAGAAGATCTGGATCTATTGATTTTACAGACTAGGCTCAGAGAAAAGAAGTGCTTGGCCCAAAGTCACACAGCTGCAGCTGTGACCCCCAAATCCTGTCTTTTCTCCACAATGCCAGTGGTGGAAAATGAAAAATTGTCTGAAAATGTGGACCCTCTAGACCAGCAGCATAAGCCTCCTCTGATTTGTCAGAAATGCACATTCTTGGGCTCAAGGGGAGCTTGCTGAACTGGAAACTCTGGGGTGGGCTCTAGAGACTGTGTTTTAACAAGCATTCCAGGTGTTCTGAAGCACACTCAAGTTTGACACCCACTGCTATCCCATGCTGCCTCTTATTCCTTTGGAATTAAGAGACTCTATAATCCCAATTACAGTGTTCTTGTGACCATTCCTACTTATCAGCCTTTTGGCAGTAGCTACCCCATCTTAATTACTGATCACTAACATTCACTTCCATGACATACTCAGCCCAGCTCTAGCCTGTATCTAGACAGCCATTGCAGGGCTGAGAGTGCAAGCATGTCCCCAAGATTAATTCATGAAAGAATGACACACTGTATACATGCCTCCAGTGGCTAAACCACCTCATTCAGATAAAGAGCTTCAGATCTCAGTATGCCTCTCTGGATCCTCCAAAGTTTCTGGATCATGCCCAGTCTCACCTCTTCCAAATATATTATATTATTTTGACAACAGGCTCTGAAATTCATGAGCACTCTCACATGCCTACTCATGTAAGTTGGTCTTGAAATGTGCCTGATTCACCATATATAGCTAGTGAGGACTCAAGGAAATTGGAAACAAAAAGATATTTTGGTCCTGAAATAAACCATTTTGCCAGATTGAACCGAATTATCATTAATGAACAATATCAATAATGGACAATAACATATCACTAATGATGTGAAAATGAGACCATGGGTAAAATGTACCAATGCCTGCCTTCCTAACACAACTAAAATTATGGGGACTGAAAGTTCTGCATGACTCCTTACTAACACTGGGGTGTACAATCAGYGGGTCTTTCCAAGGTATTAATAAGCTACTAATCATGTGCGTGTCGATTCTTCCCTTTAACATGAGCTCTCTTCTCTTCCTCCTTCTGCTTTCCTTTGTTCAGAGAAGCAACAGAAAACTCGCCCATTATGGATGGGTCTGAGTCTCCACCTCACCAAAGTACTGATGAATAGAGGTATCGTAATGGGGACGTTTTGTTCTTACTGCCCGTGAGTTCATGATCCCAGATGTACTGCCTCTGTGCTGTCTTCACACATGTCAGATTTTCCCAGAAGGAAACATCTGAGTGGTGTGGAAGCCATTGTTTTTATGTCTTATTTCTAATTACATGTGGAACTATTTGTTTATATGTTTGTTTTTATGTCAGATGTTGGGCATTCCCAATGCTACTTCCCAGAAAAGATCCCCACAGTATGTTTTAGACCTTCCCAGGCTCTAAGTACATACAAAGATCTKCAGAGGTTTGTACTTCCTTAGTAGTCAGCGTGTAGGAGAACAATGTCACTGTGATTTAAGTTTAAATCACCAAGGGCAGAGTGAGCTGATCCAGAAGCACCTAAACATCACCCATAATTGCATCCCAGCATTCTTGAGTGACAGCTGAGTGCTGTATCAGATGCTGTAGCATCCTGCTTTTCAAAATGTAATCCAGAAATTAGCATCATGATTATCACTATGTGGAAGCTCATTAGAAAGGTCTCTGAGCACCACTAGACTACCAAATCAAATGCCTGTTGAAATTTGCRAAGCGCTGCTACTGTGGACATCAGGTAGACAGTGACACCTGAACCTATCCCTAGACCTGGGGACCTTAAATTCTAATTAATTGCACATCTTTGAAATTAAATATCATTTCAAGTGATAATTAAAAATATAAGAACTCCATGCAGAAGTGAACAAAAAAAWTTWARKTTWWTWAAWTWWAAAAAAAATGAATGTGGACCATATTCCAGGATCCTACAATTCCAGAAATTCAAGTTACAAATCACAGTTTGAAAATCTATTAGGAGATAAGGAATAAGAAACTGCCACACTCACATAGTAAGTGTTCTAAAAGTTAAAATGCTAAAAGGATTCAGAGAGGAGAGGGATCAATTTTGAGCAAATGGAGATGCTCTGTGAGCCCAGATTGCAATAGGTAGAGGGGGCTTAGCCGCCTGGAAGCAGAGGGAGGCCATCCCAAGGACACAAACCCAGGTGCAGAAACAAGAGGGTCTATTTGGGGAACAACAGAGAGTCTCATTTTGCTGCAGAAAACAAGAACTTCTGCCTGAAAAGTAGGTTAGGACAAGATCATRAACAAAGTCAAGAGAGAAATGTGGAACAGTTTTTACAGTTGAGAGATGAGGGATTAGGAAAGCAGGTGCTTTGCTCCTCAGAGGAAGGTGGGCACCTTTTCCTCTGGTGCCAGAGAGAAACTGAAAGAGCGAATGAATGATGTCATAAGAGCAACATTCCTTCAATACTAGAAGGACAAAACCATTTGTCACAGTGATAGAGATGGGAATGGCAGGAGAACTTGGGAATTAAATAGGACTGGAAGGCTGCTGTGGAAATGTGATGTGTCAGCTTGAAATGATATTTTTAAAAGAAAAGAAAATTCTGAGCCTCAGCACATGCCCAGGCCAAGTAAGACAGGGACGGCTCTAGAAGGCCTCTTCACCCTGGCTTTGTGATCACCTGCAGCACTGTTCAGCAGCCCAAGTGTGTACTGCCAGTTGGTTCCATAAGTTAATCATATTCCTCATTTGTTAGAAAGATATGGAGATAAAGCATTGCTCAACACTTAGTAAGAGTGAAGATAAGCCATTGTTGAAATGTACTTTTATAAAATCTATCTATAAAATGTATAAAAGTCATTTTGCTGAGTGAAATTCCTTCCCACAAGATTCTGTACAATACCCCCCCCCATACACACACACACACCTCCTTATATCAAGCAGTTATAGTCACAGACTCGTTGAGATGTGGGTAATGGAGGCTCGTGAATTCAACAACTTCCTTGTAATGGAAGCCTTGACTTAGCCAGCCCCTGGTGGGTCATGCATCCCTGTGTGTCTCTTGAGTTTAACCACTGGGAAAGGGCATTTTTGCAGTGGAAAGCCCCCTTGGGCAGAGGGCAGTGGTGGCCATCAACAGATTCAAGAGTCACCACTCCCAAGACCCTTGGTGGCCAAGGGTGTGCAGGTCTAGGCTACTCTCCTGGGTGACATTAGAAAGATCCCCTAGGATCATGAATGACTCACTAAATTTACCAGGGAGACCTATTTAGTGAYTCCCTGTTGTATTACTTGTGAAAAATAGCCGCTTCCTAACAGTCTGTTTTGTGTTGTGCTTTCTTGGCATGTGGCATTTCTTGACTATTCGCTTAAAACTGAATCGGTACTGAATGAGAAGCATGGGCTTGTCTGAGCTCCCAGTACCAAGTCTCTTCTCAGTTACATGAGGAAAAGATACCAAGACATTAAGCAATATTTGTAGCTTTTAAAACCATCTACTAGATATTTCAGTAATGATGGGGGAGTCACTAAGAAATAATCTATGTAAAATATCTAAGGGATGGATGGTATTTTTTTTTTCTTCCAGCTTTATTTTATCTTGTTCTCTCTTTTATTCTTTTAGTAAATAAATTTTAATCTGAAAAGAAAATGTTCATTTCAGACCAGTCACAGTCAACCTTTTCTGGGATATTATTAAGTTCCACCCTTCTCAAGAGCTGGCATAGGACAGGCCAGTCATTTGCTTATTGTGGCACTTTGGGGGCTATGTGGGGACCAAACCACTAATCAAATGGTGGGCTCTACCCAGCTTTTCCCATCCCATCACCCATCATTCAGATGTTGCTTGGTCTGTTTTATGCATTGGGTTTCTAATGAGCTAATTAGCTAAGCAGAAGGATCCTACAATTTTAAAAGATACAAACCCCACAGAACTTAGAACATCTGATGACCTCCCACGTGGAACKGGACGCTATGATGTAGGAGCCTTCCTGGAAGCCACAGGAGAGTAATGTGGTCCATCCAAGAGTTAGACTGTGTCTTCACAGACAGAATAAACCCCTGAAGGAGCCCGTAACAACCTGTTGCCTTATCCAAATACTACTGCTTTGAACTCAGTGGTCTTTCCTTGAGTCTTACGATCAATATAAAAGGACATTTAGTTCCTCTGAAGCAGATTAAATTGTGACAAAGGTCCTTTGTATTGTGATACAGTTACTACTCAAAAAATTTTAACTGTAACAGTTTCAACCAGAAACTATGTAGGATCCAACATACAAGAGATTCAAACACATTTTATACTTTTGTTAATAGGCAAYACTGTTTGGGAAATTCTGGGTGAAACAAAGTAATGCAGAACTTCTCAGAGCTTTTAATATGTGTCCACGTACATTGCAGTTCTCTAAAAGGCTGAGTCCCCAAATTTATTTTTCCAGGGAACTTTTTATTTCCTTAGAGCATGACACAAGTCTACTTTGAAAAMAACTGGTTGAGGTGATTCCTTATATCCTATGAAGCCACTAAGGAAAATTTTGTCCTCAAGAGATTAAGATCACATTTTTATCAGAAACAAATTTCTGTCAAGAGTTTAAGAAACTATGTAAGTGCCAGTATTAATTAGTTCATTTGAAAAAAAAAAAAAACAACAATGCAACAAGTAAATAAGAGTGTATGCTGGCTGATGTACAGGAAGATGAAGGTGGGATGGAGCCAGGGCTCACAAGCTCTTTTTCCCTCCATAACTCTGCTTCCTGCTCCTGTTACTTTCATTCATAGGAGGAAGTTGACATCCTCATAGTCTCAAAGCTGCTCATCCCTGCTTGGCCATCTATGAACCAGTAATTAGTTGGAGGGCTCTAACTGGCAGACCTGTCATATGCCCACCCCTGGTAGGAGTGGGGGTGGTGGTGTCATGTATAAGAGATGGATTGTCCCCCAAGGAGCARCACATGTCCCCTGCAGGGCCCACAGTTAAACAGAATTAACCTGGTGTAYTTCCAGAGCTCCAAGCACAAGACACGTGAAAGTGCACCAGAATGCTCACRGATGACTTGGGATTTTTCTAGCTTTTATGCATTTTTCTTTTTTTAAAGACCAAATGAGAAAAATTTATAATGCATAGAATGCTTTCTTCCATTTGTTCCTAGAGAAGTTGGGAATTGAAACAGAAAAATGGGAATGACTGGTTATTCTCAGTGTAAACTGATTCATGAGGCACTTTGTTAGTAAGATATCCTTAATAACATGCCTATAATCCCAGCTACTTGGCAGGCTGAGACAGGAGGATTTCAAGTTTGAAGCCAACCTTGGCAACTTGCCAAGACCCTATCTAAAAACATAAAAGGGGTTGGGGATGCAACTCAGTGACAGAGCACTTACCTAGCATGTGCAAGGCCTGAGTTCACTTCCCAGCACTACCACCACCACCTAAAAAAAAAAAAAAAAAAAAAAAAGAAGATACTTTTTAAATTCACTTTCCTTTGAACTACATCAGGTTGAGGTCTCTTCCTGTCACCCATCCACACTATACCCCTAGAACTGAGCATGGGAAAATGAGCCAAAGGAGAGGAATTGAAAAGCTAGTTTAGGAGATCTGGAGAGGGGCTTTTCCCTAATAATGATCCCTAGAAATGWCCATGGGTGTCAAACATATCTGTGTGATCTCTTCTTAACAGTTAAGAATCATTTCTACCCAACTTAAATAGTAATGCCTACCTGACAAACTTTTTTGGAAACCTTTTATTTCTTCTATATACTTTCCTATATATTTTGTTTATCTTTGGTGCTGGGGAATCAAACCCAGGGATGCTAAGTATGCTCTCTACCTCTGAGCTACATGCCCAGCTTCTACTATATAAGTGAGTACTTTTTTAATAATCACAAAAAAATAGATGATATTCATAATAAACAGCACTGATTTTTAAAAGACATTTAAAACTCAATTTAGAGTATCACCTTAATCTCACTACAGGGAAACCTGGCATTTCCATTGACCTTCCAGGTCAGTATAAAACTCTCCCAGTGAAATCTGGTTACCCCACCCCCACCTCCACCCCAAGCCCAATGGAAGATAACCCCGTGACTATCATGCAGGAAGAGTCATCTTGAGGAATATGGCCCAAGGGGTTCTGGGCCTTGGCTGCACCGGAGAATCACCTGGGGGAGCCTCTAAAGCCCCCATCACTCACTCACAACCAGACCAATTCTAGCAGCTCCGGGTGGGGTCAGGCAGGAGTACTTTGGGGTCCCTGGTGATTCCAGGGTGCAGTCAGGCTTGGAAACTACCATGTTAAGTATTYGTTAGCTTGCATTTTCCTCTTTCTYAGATGTCGAGTGTCAGGAGGTCACTTGGACCCTTTTGGTCTAAGTGCTTTCTATATACTCAGCTCTGTTGAGTGTATCAGGCCTCACTTCTTCTAAACAGGGAAGACTGACAATCAGTCGAGGGCCTCCATCAGTGGACACATACCCTGATGCAGGCCCGGGTGCCACTCCTCTCTAACCATCTCATATCCCTTCTTGGACCCCACAGGGGCTGCAATGACAGCTGCTTCCTGGATTCCTCCCCCTACCCAGAACTAGCTGACGTCCAGTGGTATGGGCAGGAAAAAGCCAAGCCCGGGACCCTCGTGTGAGACAGCCCTGGCCTGATCTGACCGCCTCGACGCCATTCTGAGTCACCTCACTGCCTCTCATTTGCCTTACCCAGACGCACTGTCACCTGCACCAGCTTCGGTCCTCAGCACTTTTTTTCTCCTGTCTCCGCAACCCCTTCACCCTCAAAACCTGACTGAGGAGACATTCTGGAAGGTTCCGGTCCCACTGTGTGTCCCCTGGCTCTCTTGCCCACAGAGAGCTAATYAGCAATCCTCAATGGCACCTTGGTGGCTTCCCCCGCCTTGACAGCCCCCAGGCCAGGAACTGTCAGGGAAGCCGGCTGGCATGAAATTCCTGCGGACAAGTAGCATTGGCAGAGAACAGGAAGATTTACCCACAGAAGGACTATGAAGCTGCGTCCAGCCTGCCGCCTGTAGGCCAACCAAGCACTTCAAGGAGAGGGTACCTCGTGGGGATATTCAGTTGACACCTGAAATATTCCTAATAGAGCTTGGGGGAGGGAGTGTCTGCGGGGAGAAGAAGTGAGGAAGGTTAACACCCCGAGATGCACCAGAGGATCACAATCAGTTCTACGCTGCCAAAGAGAAACAAATAAAATAATTACATGCAAACAGAAATAAGAGGGGCCAAGCGGAAGACATTCTTTCTGCAATGAAATTTCTTTTAGAATCTAAACTGCTTCTGCACACCACAGTGTAAGTCAACCATTTGTAAATCRTGTCCTCTGATCCATCACCCTTGACAGTCCACTTCTTCCTCCGTGAGAGCCTGGAACCCTAACCCAATGGCAGGGTGAAGATCAGGGAGTYTTGGCTGGCCTCCCTGACTCAGAATCTCCATCAGTCTGGACATGAAGGAAAACAGACCCTYGGGGAGGAGCAGAGTGTACAATTAGCCTGGTCTGTGAAGGGGGCTCAGCCGAAGCCCGAGACCCAAAGCTGCTTTCCTTTGGGGATTTGTAGTAAACATAAGGTGATAATTGCCAAAAGTGGTTCTCTCTCATTAAAACGACCAGTAAAAGTGTAACCTATTTTTTTGCACAAGGTGTTTCATTTTTTCTTTTCTTTTTTTATGGGAAACCAAGGGAAAAGCACATTGCAGTCCATTCAAGTGTTTAACTGTTGWGGCTCATTTTATGTTAGCACTTGTGTGACAAACAGCTCAGATTCGACTTCTCCTATGTGTCACTTATTCAAAGAACCCAACTATGCCCTTAGGTAGAAAGATTTTCCACAGTGTCTACTAGCCAGCAGGCAGAGCAGGGTTGAAAAAAAGAAATCAGCTCCCAAAGGACCTGTAACCTACTGCAGAATCAGTTACCGTGAAGCACCACCTTTGTCTGCAGATACCAAAAGAGGAAGAAAAATAACAGATGGGAGCTGCCCGTTTACATGTGTTTTGAGCTATGCTTAATACACAACCAGAAAGCCATCAATCTTCAAAGGCCTCAAAAAAAAAATACTTTTATAATAACTAACAAGTGCACAATCTTAGTTGGGTTACTCAAGATGGCACAAAAAGGTCACAGAGGTGGTATGCTGTGCTTGTTGGCGCCAAGTGGGGTGGGGTGGGGGTGGCGTGTTCTTCTTTGTAACGATTTCCTATTGGAAAGGCATTTGACAGCCAGGGACAGGAGCCAGGGTGGGGGTGGTTTTTTGGGAAAGCAGAACTAAAGTTAGCTGTAGTGTCAAAAGAAAAAAAAAAATCTTCGTCTTTCATGTATATGTAATCCAAGAATAACAATAGACTCTACCAGACCAGGGAGGGTAAGAATGGACACCAAAATGAACTGCTCCCTCTGCCACTGGGGAGAACTGGAAGTCAAGTGGGAGCATCAGGCCACAGCCTCTTCCATTTCTTTGTGCACGATTCAGGGCCCCAGAGCCCACTGTGCATGGCTAGGTTGGTGATACCAGTTTGCAGAAGGGATTGCTATTTTCAGAACACTTAGGGATAAAACTGCAGGATAAATAGAAACTRGTTAGGAAGTTACTGAATGAATCTGGGGCTTGACTGGGTGGGAAGGAGGTATTTCAATTGTTTTTGTTTTGACAGTTAGAGCTACAGACAGCATGTTTTTTTTAAGTCCCCCCCCCACCTTCCCTATTTGAAAGCATTCATTGGGTCATTTTTTTATTTTTCCCACAAGATAGATGAATAATCAGACTGAATTCTGTGCAACAGGAAAAATCAAAAGGGAAATGGAAAAGGGGACRAGGTAGCAAGGTTACAGGTGATATAACTTGGATGGTGGTTTGAAATCAGGTCTGAAGTARATTGGATCAAGCTTTCTTCCAAAAATCTTGGGTTACATTTAGATTTGGGGGGGGGGCAAAGAGGAATGGAGTGGGAACAGAATTACAGTTCTAGCAAACATCCTGAGAGTCTGGTAGTAAAGACAGATTAAGTAAAACAGGTTTTACTGTTTAGCTGTGTTCAGTTGATACAAAATGTACATAACTGTTAGTCCTTTGAGACTGACATGATAATGGTCAGTGTGGTGGGAAACGCTGTAGTGATTATATRCAAGCACTTGGAAACTCTTTACATATCCCTATTTCTTTAAAACAAAATATGATGAAATACAAAGTCCCTGGTCTGATAAAAGCCCCTATTGGATTTTTTGGATACATGTAAGAAATTGCCTGTTTCAGCCAGAAGACTGGTGAAGACACATAAACCAGACTACGTTGTGAGCCAGGTTGTTTTTTTGTTTTGTTTTGTTTTGTTTTAATTGTTTTTTTATATGCAGGTGAGTGTTGAAACTGTTAAAATTCCAATTTGTTTTCATTCAGTATTAGTTTAGTTCTAAATATAGCAAACCTCATCCAGGTGCTATCAGACGACCAATTACTGCTTAGTTAACTAGGTGTAAAGTTTTACATATACATTAATGTCAATAGTTTATTACAAGTTGTGTAAAATGRACTCTAGTTTAATAATGGGGGGAAAGATTAGGTTGCTCCTGAAACTGACTGTAGAGCATGTAAAATGATTTTACTGGATTCTGTTCAACTGTAATCAATGAAAAAGATGTATGTTGTAGACAAAGTTGCAGAATTAAAGAGAAATCTGCTTTTAATTTATTCTTTTTGTATTAAGAATTTGTATAGTACCTTTACATTTTGCAAACCAGTGTTGTCAACACTTATTAAAGCATTTTCAAAATGAAAAGACCCCAGTTGTCTCTTGGAGATTTTGTTTCTAAGTGAGACATGCTTAATCATGATCCAGAAGCGTGGAATGCAGGTGCCTGTGGCCCTCAGTCTATGTGAGGTATTCTTGTTGGCTTACTGAATGATAAAGACCAGCTTATTGGTTTAGAAGAGGTGAATTTCCTCTTACTCATTTCCTCCTATAAATTATACAAGGTAATGTAGTAAATCATGTGTTCCTTCTACTCCAAATAGGATTTGAGATTAGTGATCACTCTGTCAGGACACTATTTCAATATTTGTATTACTGTTTACCACAAAGAGCTCCCTGTGTGAAATGAACACTGCCATGTGTACTGTCCCCCACCCCCACCCCCAGCGTAGTCCATGGCACAACAAACTTGGATGGGGAGCCTTTGGGGGATCATTTTTAGTCTGTCTCCCTGTTGCCCCAGTTTGGAGCAGGATGCAATGGGCCCATCTGGCCCCCAGGGACAAAAAGCCCCAACCTATGGAGAATGRTTTCAGGCTGACTTCAATAAAGACTTTGCTGCAACGGCATCCCTGGCCCTAAACCTACAGGCATCTCTTCACTAATAGGAAAACAGGGAGTATGGACTCTAGGAACACCCTGGATGGAAAGCTAGACTACTGGTCACTAGTGCAGCTGACCCCTGCCTAAAAGAAAACAATCTATTGAGACTCTGGATCTGTCTGGAAGTGAGTRGAAGAGCATTTTCTTCTTCCCAAGGTCTTATAGCTGTCCAAGGAAGAGTCTGACACCTCCTTCCTCAGGAAGTAAACAGTATATTGCAAGAGTCCACACCCAGAAGGGAATTATGGCTGTCTTTTGATGTAAATGTGTCACAGCTCAGCAAGTAAATCTGGACTCCTTCAGCTCTGACAAGCCACATGGAAGTAGCCAGCACACAGAAAGACAAGACTGCTGCCATTTTCCCATTCCTTCCTACCTTTCCACAAGCCTTGCCCTCTCTCCTTTTCTCCTTGTCACTCCCTCTCTCCCCCTTTCTCCTTTGTCACCTTACATAGTGCCAACAAGGTAATTTCAAACAGTTACTATGTGGATTATTAGAGAATACTAATAACTAGAAAGGGTTAAAAATAGCCAGCTCCTGACTTTGGCTTGGAATATCAGCTCAAGAAAGCTCTTGTATAAAATTCTAAGAGGAGTATGAGGAGCCACTGTGGAGGGCTAGCAAGTAGGCTGGTGCCTCTGTCAGAGCCCCTGCTGTGTGCATTCAGTGTAGTCCTGGTCCTCAAGCTTACTGCTCCTGGATGAGAGAAACAGGCACCCAGTTATCATGTAAAGGGAAAGGCCACGGTTATCAAACAGACAGGAGAAGGCAGAATGATTCTCAAGATAACAGATCTCGAGTGTGCAGACAGGGGCTTTCACAGGTCAGGTCAGGGAGGGTGGGGACGGGTAGAGAGCCTGAAGAAGGATGACCTCTCTGCCTTGCGCAAAGCCACAATCGCAGCAGTCACCACTTAGTCAAGCAAGAGCTGAAGGGCCTGAACTGTGATGCACCAGAATAAACAATGCAGAGGGCAACTGATGGGACCCAGAGGTTGAAGACTGCACGGAGTTTGGTTTCTAGCAGAAACCCATTTTTCTCTTCCTAAGACTGTATCCCCATAAACTAGTAGATTCCTTTTATTTCTTCATCCACTCATTTTCTCTCCAACCATGCTTTTATTCCCTCCACYCCACCAAACTCACTCATGTTAAGGTCAATTCCTGAAATGCCAAATTCAACAGTAATTATTTGTTGTCATTTTATGTGAACTACCAGCAGCATTAGTTGAAGTTAAATGTCCCTTGCTTCATTGAAACTTGGACTCCAGGACACTAGGTTCTCCTCCTAGCACAGTCAGGTCTCCTTTTCAACCTCCTTGAGTTTTTCTTCACTTCCCTGACCTTGGAGTGTCCCAGGGCTCTGTCCTTGGACTCTTCATTATTGACAATTACTCTTTTGTAGCTCACTTCCATCTAGTCTCAAGGTTTTCTATGCCATCTATAAGGTGATGATACCTCCACTGGATCTCCCTTCTCTCAGTCTTGCACATCTTTCTCCCTACTCAGCATTTCCACATGGATGTCTATCATGCCAACATGTCTGCACTGAACTCCTGGCCTTTTCTGCCAAACTCCTCCTCAGCTCAGTGATGGGCAACTCCAACTGATGTGGTTTGGATATGAGGTATCCCTCCAAATAACTCCTGTGTTGATGCACARATGTTCAGAAGTAAAATGATGGGATTGCAACAGCTATAACCTAATCAGCCCACCCTGCCTTAACTAACTGGATGGTAACTGTAGGCAGGTGGGGGGTGGCTAGAGTAGGTGGGTAACTGTCGGTGTGCCCTGGAAGGTTCATCTTCCCTATAACTCCTTCCCTCTACCCTCTCTCTGCTTCCTGGCCACCATGAGGTGAGAAGCTTCCCTCTGCCATRCCCTTCCAATGATGTGCCACCTCATTTTGGGAGTTGGCTGATCATGGAATAAACCTCTGAAACTGTGAGCCAAAATAAACTTTTCCTCCCCTAAGTTTTTCTTGTTGGGTGTTTTRGTCACACTGACAAAATGCTGACTCACACACCAACTTTCCAGTGCTCAGGCCAAAGAGCTTGGAATCAACCATGAGTGTTCTTTCCTCCACACCTTACACTGCAGCAAACAAAAGAGATGTGTGTTCCTTGCCCTTGGGAGACTTATATTACACGGGGGGCAAAAGGAGGGAGAAAATAAAAAGTAGGTATATAAGGAAGTGATAAGAAAGCAGGAACAGTGAGATATTTAGCCTATGACAGAAGGAGGAACAACTTTTCCTCCAAGTCAGGCAAGAAAAGATGGTGGTGAGTTTGAGGTAGAACTAGCGCTTGAGATTGCCTCCATATTCAACCTGGAGTGAGAAAAAGTAGGGGAAGCCACATCAAAGTGAGATGGGAAAGAGGTAGTTGGGTTGGGTCAGGATAGAGCAGAGTCATGAAGCACTGGAAGAGCCATCAGAGAGAGGCCAGTTGACACTGGACACTTGGTTATGGGGTTCCTCTAGTGGTGCTTACAAGCCAGGGTACAAGAGGAGAGGGACTTTGGGATGATCTCTGCTTGAGTTGTATTGTGAGGTATGTCTGAAAGAAGTGGACATGAGTAGAAAGTGCTAGTAAGACTAAAATGGTAATAAAGGAATGCAGGCCAACTGGAGAGAAAAGAGAATCTAAGAAGGTACTGACAAAGGAAGCAAAAGGAATGAATGGACAAAATGGCTCAAGGAGCCTGAGGAAAAGCAGTAGGGGGGATAAGAGGGAGCAAGGGTAGGACTTTATAACCAGAGAGTAGGTAGAACCTAAGTTTCCCATAATCTTCCAGTTATCCCCAAAGAGGTGGGGCCACATAATTTAGGGAAAAGGGCCACGCAGTGTGTTGATGAATGCTAGTGGAAAATCCATCTAAGCCTGAGATGGCTTGGAAGGGAACCTGGATCTTAGGCACCATTTTCGGGAGCTAAAAATCTGATTATATCAGGACACCAAGACCAAACCAATTATTTTAACAGAGATAATCGAATATGAATGTTAACCACACAGTGAAGAGGTGAGAAGACAAAATGTGAGCACTGGAAATAAAGACAAGAGTAAAAGATTATTCCAATTTAGAAGCTTCAAGAAGGCACCTCAAGGCACTGCGGTCAAACCTCTYAGGAGTGGACACCACTCAGCAGGTGCCTCAGAAGCTTTGCAAGCATCTGCACAGCTGAGATGCAAACCTGAGGAGGGGCACCCCAGCAGGTGCTATGATCTCTTGAGTGACACAATGAAGCTGCACATTGGAAGCCACTGTTCTTTCAGGAATGAACTGTCACTGCTATCTGTGGTGCCATCCTTAGGAATAGGGAGCAAACAGGAAGGAGCAGATTCCTTCTCCTCTCCTCCTGGTTCCAGTCTTTTTCACTCCTATTGCAGCCAGCAAAGGAGAGAAGTGGTTTGCAGTCTCCTGACAAAGCAGAGTATAAGAGTGTGTTTGGAGCTGAGACAGCAGCTTCACAATCAGCACATGACCAGATCTGGCCCTCCCCTCACAAGATACAACTGGTCGAATGTAAAGTTCCTAATCAAAGGTAAGCAAGAAGGCTCTAGAATTTCACAGAKACCTCTAAAATCTACGCTAATTTTCAATTAAATAAATTGTATAAAGGACAAAAAATACATGTATTTTTGGGCCCATGTTAAGTGTAACTTTAGTTTCTTCCAAGGAACTGTAGTAAGAACAAGTCAAAGCATATCAAATTGACTTTCCCAAAATGAGAAATCAGAAACATGCATTTCTTTAAATACCTTTCACATCCCCAACAGATACTCAGAAGACAGTGTATTCCTCTTAGACTAAGAAAGTCATTTTCTGTGGGAGACCAACCTTACATGTAACTGAGTCACTCCCGGGCTGGGTGATTGAGGCTTTAGGCAGCAGCCATAAGCTAGACTGCCCCGCCCTTCTTGGGTTCAAGTGATGGTATCTTTGTGCATGGGGGTGTCTTCCTACAGCCCCATGGGTGAAGCTATGCTCACCTGTTCCTTTATAATATTACCCCTTGCCCTGTTTGGGATAGAATGTTCCATGGAAACACCCTCTGTGTGTCCTCTTATCTTACCCTTGGGTGCGGCCTACCTAGATGTCAACCTGTTGACAGCAGACATCATGAAGATAGACTCAGGCCTCTGAAACCTGACCCCTTGCCTCGTTTGAATGGCTTCTCCTCAATAAAAGGGGTCAGCACGTGTATGCGTTCTCTCTCTCTCTTTCTGCGGACCCTTAAGGTCAGAGAAGCTGTCACAGCAACTCCAAAGAAAAAGGTATTTCTGCCTCTTGTGTGGTTATTTCCCGCAGCCCAGTTCCCCTGGAGTAACCCCTGAGTGTTTTAGTTTCGAACAAAACCCGGCAAAAAGAGATTTGATA